TGTTTTTAACAATTGACCTATTTCCTAATTTACTGAATACCCTGTATATTTATATATTATATACATTATTCTCTCTTATTACCTCTTACTTATTATTAGTAGTAAAAAGTATTTTAAAATGAAAAAAGCNAGTAGTAAAAAGTATTTTAAAATGAAAAAAGTGTATTTACTGAAAAACATTTAATTCATAATTGATTTACTTCTAAATATATAAAGTTTTATTCTTACCGAGTGTTTGTCTGTTTTTACTGTTTCTTATACCATCTCATAAACGATTAATGGATTGGAGTACTGGTGGTGTTAGAGGTGTTGGAATTGATGATAAACCTCCATCGGTAAGACACTAAAGATTTTGTGATAACTTTTTTTTTATTTTTTGCCTTTTTAAATTAGTAGTAAACTTTTTTAGCTTCAATGCGAAGCTGAGAAGGTATTGTAGTAAATAGCTGAGGAAGTATTAAATAACGTCGATTTTAGTATAATATAAGTTTCACAACAGTAGTAAGCAATTTTTGAATTCTTGAGCATATTAATAATGGTAGGATAAAAAATATATAAAGGGAAACATTAAAAGTATAGGGGGATTGACATTTTGCCAAAAAAACGTTGAACTACTGGTCAGGATTAATTTTGTGTTACATTTTTATATTACATTTTGACTTTGTGTTTTTATGTTTCATAAATAAAATAATTATTCAAAAATCTACTTGAGAGTAAATACTTTATATCCATCATGCTATTACAAATTGTATGTGTGCAGCAAGAGTCGAGGTTGGACTACTGGTCCTTTAGTTGATCATAACAATTAGTGTGTGTGCTGGCTAGTTTTTGGGCTTAACCATTCTTTAGTAGGTATAGTGAAAAGGTAACTGTGCTGGTGGCTGACAAGGAGCCACCCTTCAGTCTGCTACTTTTGAGCTAGACCGTCTAGTTTAGACGGATCTAAACTCTACCTCTTTAGTAGTTCACTAATTGGAGGGATTGGGGCTGACCAGTGTATCCAACTGGAGGACTCGAGAAGAGCTAAAAACGATGAACTTAAAAAAGTATTAATTAATATGTGTATGACTTTTTTTGTCTTTGTCGGGATACTACTGATGTACGACAGTATTCATTTTATTATGTCTGTTGTTTTTTTTTTAAACTGCTATAACTTTTTAAAAATGAACAAATCATTTCAACAAACCTATCATTTGATATATTTTTGTAAACCTGCCCTGTTCAAAATGGCAACTTTTCCAAAAAAATTAACTTTTTCAACTTAATTTTTGAAAATGTTCTGGAAATACTGACACTTTTATATATATCTTAAATTAAAGCTTATGTAATATACTTTATTATGAAAAAAAAAATTGAACTTAAGTTTCTCTTTGTGGTGAAAATAACTGCTGTATTCAAAAATATGCTATTATTGTGTTAAAATTCTAAGTTTTGTTTTTTATTTTAAAATACCTTACGAGGAGACTATGCTGATTTTCATAAATATTATATATATCTAATTAACATAGCATAGAAAGTTCAATTTCTTTAAATTTCTTTGCTTCTTTTAAGTAAAAAAAAAAATAACTTTAAAATTTGAATTAGCTTAAATTACCATTTTTTCGGTCAACGAATGCAACATATGGTTGCCTATTCGGTAACACTTGTGTCTTATGCGCTTGGAGTACGTGGTTCAAATCTGCTAGTGCAAGTGAAATTTTTACATTTTTTTCTTAATTATTTAATTAGAAAGAAATGTTCAGCTCATTTGATTTTAATCTCATTAAAATTCAATAACTTCAATAAATTTTAATTTGACCATATTTATGATAAATATGCAAAAAAATTATTGAGCTTTTCTAAAAAATTTACTGTAAATAGTAATAATAAAATTTCCCATTGCATATTAATCTTAACAATAACATTTTTTTAATTCTCATAAAATGTTCTATTTAATGATGTCAATTTCAAACTTGCAATTTTAGGTAACAAATACAACTTTTTTTATCATAAATTTTCAAAAATATACTATGAAGGACCAAAAAATTAGTTAAAAATGATATTTTGCATTGATTATTTTTATAATTAACATATAATTATAATTATATTTATAATTTATAATTAATTAACATATTAAAAATAAAAATCAGTAATGATTTGAAAACAAATTTTTTTTTGTTTTAATAATTTTTTTACATGTAAATACTCATTTTTTACTAATTAGTAATAATATCAAGACTTAAAAATAATAAAAAAGTCTAATTACAGATTTGAAAGCAGTGTGAAAAATTGAAAAATAAAAGTGTATTTATGCTTCTGATGAAAGTTCCTAGTAGTCCAGTGTATTTATTCATAAGTAACACAATTTTTTTTTTTAAAGTATTGCATTAAGCCCTTTAAATTTTTATACTCATTAAAAGTAAAGAAATATTCAACTACTTTATTATTTTTATAATTTCTCCGTATAAATTACAATATTAAATTATTGATAATTAATTTCATACTAAATTTAACTACTATAATTAGTATTTATTCATATATTATATTTTTAAATCAAAAACCACTAATGAGGATACAATTAAGGAAATGGGAGTTTTTGTTGCTTTTGTAATTAACCACCAATTTCTTAGAATTAAACACTCTACAGATTTGTACCGAAGCATTTTTTATGATAGTGATTTTAATCACTGTCAGATATCCATGTCTATACTGCGATACTGTTTTTTTTTTTTAATTTGATGAAATTAAAACTTGGACTAATAAAAAAAAATGTGTTAATTTTAGTGTATATTGATTAAAACTCAATCATTTTTTTTAGATTTAGTACATGAAGTAGTAATTTAGAATTTGATAGTCTAAAACTATTATACATTTGGTTTGTTAAGTTTTACTTATATTTAGTTACTTTGACATTTATTTATCATTATTATATTGTTATTTAGAGCATTTTAATATATGTTGTATATTAAATCTTAAATTTATTTGGAAATTACTTGTTAAAATTATTTTTTTTTCAATTTTTAATATACAATGTTATTAATTTATTCAGACATCAATATCTAAGTGGAAAAAATGGTCTGAAATTGAAGCTGGGCCTGGTGGAAGAATATCAGGTTCTGTATGTGGATTAGATCCTAAGTATGTAATTTTTTATTAAAAATTAATTTGACTTTTGTACATTATACTCGTATTTTATATATATGAAAAATGAACAGGTATTGCGAAGCTCCAGCATCTGTTGCACCTTATGAATGGCCAGATGATATTACTAAATGGCCAATATGTCGTAAAATGAGTGGTCGTGGTAGTGCTAGACATAGTTGGGGAAGTTCTGTTATAAGTCAAAAACTCACATCTGCTGAGCATATGATATGTGAGGTTATAGGTCATCCATGTTGTATTGGTATTCATGGCACGTGTCATATAACTACAAGAGAATATTGTGATTTTGTTCACGGTTATTTTCATGATGATGCCTCTCTTTGTTCTCAAGTATGATAAACATTATTAATCTATGTAGTTTATTATTTATTAATTATGTTATATAATTTTTAAATAGGTGTCATGCTTAAATGATGTCTGTGGACTTATTCCATTTTTTTCCCCAGAAATTCCTGATCAATTTTATAGATTATGGATATCCCTTTTCATACATGCTGGGTGAGTAAAATAAACATTTGGAATAACATTAGATTATATAATCTGTCTAAATTTATTAAGTGTAAATAATAATCATTCTTTAAGTTAAAAGTATTTGTAATCTTATACTTACCTTATGTTTATTGTTTATTTAATAAAGTAGAAATCTGCACTTGTCAATAATTGCTTTCAATTCTTTGAAATTTCCTTACAATTTTTTGCTATTATTATTCCAAGTATATTTTGCTATCTTTTATTTAATAAGTTCATAATATCAATTTAGTGATAATATAATAGTATAATATTTTTCACTATCAAAGATTAACACAAACATTTCATACTCTATCTATTTGTTTCAGAATTTTACATTTGGCAACAACTATTGTCATTCAATATTTTTTAATGAGGGATTTAGAAAAATTGACTGGCTCTTTAAGGATAGCATTAATATACTTAGGTTCTGGAGTTGCTGGTAATCTAGGTAGTGCAATATTTGTTCCATATAGAGCTGATGTAAGTTGATAATTAACTTAAAATAATTGTATTGCTTTTAAATATATTTTATTGACCATGGATTTTTTTATTGCAGGTGGGTCCAGCTGGTTCACAGTTTGGTCTTTTAGCATGTCTTATTGTAGAAGTTATTAACTGTTGGCCTATGTTAAAAAGGCCCGAGCAGGCTCTTTCAAAACTATTAGCTATCACATTCTTACTTTTCCTGCTCGGGCTGTTACCTTGGGTAGACAATTTTGCCCATTTATTTGGATTTATATTTGGATTCCTCCTGTCATATGCATTACTGCCATTTGTTTCATTTGGTCCATATGATCGACAAAAGAAAATTTTTCTTATTTGGGTGTGTTTATTATCAGCATTGTTTTTATTCATTTTACTTTTGTTATTGTTCTATCTTATACCAATGTATGAATGTGGATGGTGTAGTTACTTTAACTGTATACCTATTACTAAAGACTTTTGTGCGAATCAAAATATTAACTTTAAAAAAGATGATTATATGGTATGACAAATGTGGTGGCGACGGTATAAGACCGCGCATACATTAGTGACTAAAAATGTGACTAATAAAAGGTTTGTGACTTTAGCAACCTCTTGTGGAATACTTGAGGTAATTAATAAATTTTTTGTTTTATATTATTTGCAAAATAAATAAGTTTCAAAAAAAAACTTTTTATGTTTAGAATACATGATTTTGAAATATAATATTGTCTGTTTTTTCTTATTAAGAGTATGATTGTGAAATACTGTACTATACTATTATAATTAAAATTAACAATGGTGTCGACTGAAATTTATTAGTACTAAGTATCAATAAGGATTAGTATCTAACTAATTGTGTTATTTATTATTACTAATAAATTACTTGTTACTAATTCAAATATAATATGAATTTAACTGTAATAAATAACTATCTTATTAAATTTGACACTTTGTAAATTAAGTTATTACCATATTTTTTTTTTTTACTTTCATTAATTGTAAAACCATTTTAACTTTTTACTTAAGTGGTATGAAAAATGTAATACATTTATGACTAGCAATATGTAATATTAATAGCTTCTATTTTTAAAGAAAATTACATATTTCATTTAATTATAATATATATTAAAATTAAAACCATATTAATTTATACAATGAAATAATGAGATTAAATAACAACAAAATAAATTATGCTTTTGGAAGTATTAATATTTTGAGTAATTATTTTGTTTATATTATTGAAAGCTGTTACTTATAATCTTATATCAAATTCAGCCATAAGTCAAATAAAAAAGTAATGAATTAGAGAAATTTTGTTGGTATCCTAGATCAAAAATACCATTTCTTTAATTATAAAACAAATAGTGTTCTTTTAATGAACAATTAAATTTTTAATAATGTCATTTATAAACCCTAAATACATTTCTTTCTGCAATAGACATTGAACCTTAATTTAAAATTAAGGTTCAAAAATATATGATGAATAATGCAAAATTTGAGTTGTTCAGTTGTATAGTATTTAATAATTGTTTATTTTACTAATAACAGTTAATTTTAAAAATGGCAAAGCAAAATATTAATTATGAACATATATATATTTTACTAGTGGACGGTCATATATATATATATATATATATGTGTGTGTGTGAATGTTATTATTGTTATAATAATGTTTCAAATTATAAAATTAATTTTTATCTTATTCTAATGCTTTTAATTATGAAACTAAGTTATATTTCTATTGCAGTGTATATGGGCCAAATAATTATTTTGTATTATGCTTTTCAGAATAAAAGAAATGAAACTTTATTAAATGTACTATTGTCGATTTTTGATAGTTTTGATTTGTTACTTTTAGAGTATAGAGTATTATTTAAACACTAAAATCACCATTTCTACATACAAATATTATACAAGCTGATTAAAATAATAATACATACTTATTTTTCTTAAATAAATTTTGTATTAATATTGCATCAACACCTACATAAATTCTAAAGATTAATTGACATACGATAATTAATAAAGCTATATTAATATATTTATACCTATATTCTATTTAAAATTATTCGAACCTAATTTATCATTTATTTGAATATGTAAAAATAATTATTATATCTAAAATTCTCTAAATAATATTTAATATATTGATAAAAACGATGAAAAATATAATTTGTGCTATTATAGAATTTTAATTTTAAGTGTCATTCGATGTGTATTAATGATAAGTATATATTTTAAAATTGTATGCAAATTTTGTAAATAATTTTGTAATATAAAAAAATCTCCTGTATTATAATATATATTCTACATCGACCAAAATAAAGTGGTGTATTATATAATATATGTTACTATTAATAATTATTTATTTATATTTAGACTATTATACACATCTAAGTTTGTTCACTAGTATCAATTGTACTTTCCATGTTATTATGATAGCATAGAAATTTCCAATAAACACCTAGAGCTGCCAATGATACTCCCGTGAGATGTGTGTCACAATCAAATCTGAGAAAAAAACATAAAATATTTATAAGACTAACCAAATTAATAAATAAGTCTCAAAGAAGACTTTATTTAACTTTAATAATTATAATTATTTTATCATAAAGTTCACGATATTTTTTTTATATTAAAAATGTATAGAATCTTACATGAGATTTCAATATACAACACTAAAAAAAATTATTTCGCATGAGTAATTTGATTTGAAACAAAAATTTCATATCAAATCTAAAAATTCTTAAAATTATAATTTTGAACCCAACCTCAAACTATGCGTTTTGAAATATTTTCATTAATATCCAGTGGAAACACTATGGATATCAAAATATAAATATATCACATTTTATATTTTTTGTGGAGTACATTAAATACAATAAAACATTATACAAATTAATATTACTGTTTTTCTATCGCATTTTGAAAACATCCTTGTTGATTCTGCAAAGACAATATGAATGATAACCATTCTGGTCGTATAAAATCTATCATGTTCTCCATTCCACAGACAGCAACTAAATTATGAATTGGTTTGTTAAACATATAATTATTTGTTATTACTAATTAAATTATTTATTGAATGCGATTTGAGGACGGCTAATGTGAGCGTAGATGATGTGAGAGATCGTGTCAAGTGGAAGTTTAGGATAGGGTGGCCGACCCCAAGTAGTTGGGATTAAGGCAAAGAAAAAGAAGAATTATATTTTTAAATAATTACTCACAAAAACTAAGTATGTTGCTAAAATTATCTTAGTTATGCATTAAAAAAAAAAATTAAATTTTATTAAAGGAAATCTAAATTGCGTTGCTAACATACTTAAGAATTATATAGTAGTTGTCATTTAAAAATAGAGAAAAAAGAATAACCATTTGTGAAATTTTAATCATGCACGCAAAAACATTTTAAAGAAAAATCACCATAATGGTTTTTTTAATCAAATAATTACTTTGTTCAATAAATAAATCTCTGTAATCATAAAGAATGTTTGGGCTGTTAATCATGTATTCGGCTTCATTGACCATAGTATTACACTTGTCTTGTATAAATCCATCCAATATAATTTGAATATTGTGCTTTAGACACTTCATCTGAAAAATTAGTTATGTGCTTTCTTATGTGATTAGGTTATATTATATTACTTTTATTAAAGCCAAACCTTCTTTAAAATATGAATGTATAATACTTGATGAGTAAGTGCGTAACCCAGAAAATTATCTTCAAGTTCACTTCGGATACATTTTGTAGAAGGCCGGCAGTCAGTAAGTAACTCTAATATGCATGTATCAGAGACATTTTGAAAAAACAAATCTTCACTAGCCATTGATTTCACGTCAAAATCACTTATTGGTATTACATGGGTTTTCCAAATAAATTTTCTAAACGAAGTCCACAAATTGTTATCAAGAATTCTTTTAGCTAAAAAAATTATAGCCTTATAAAATTATAATATTATTTACGTTATAATAATTTCATAATGAATTTGTTCTAATTTTCATTTTTAAAAGATCAACAACTTGATGATATCCAAAAATTAAACATTCATTATATAATAAATATTAGATAGATACAGTAATAATATTGTATCTATTTATTTATTTATTTATGTATTGTTTGTTGCATATGCAACAGGTTGTAAAAAATGCTAATAAAAAAAATTGATCAACGATATATTTAGAACTCAGAGAAGACTTAAAACGCAATAATTAATGTACTGTATTGTTAAAAGATACATGAAATTTTCTAATAAATACTTTTATTGTCAAGTAATTTTAAAAATTCATATATTTTCAGTGTTAATTTACTACTTTTTTTTTTATTAATTTAAATTGTTAAACGATTTATATAATTATAAAAATATCGCTCCTTAAATTTTCATCGATGACCTTTTACTGTATATTATAAAATATGCTGATTTTTTTTTGTCAATACTTATTTTTGAGACTGTTATATTTGCTTTAAAAAATCTTTCGTTTAGTTTGTTAGCCATTTTACTGATAGCATAAGAACGTTTAAGTAAATTGAATGATTTTCTATTCATCTTGAAGTTTTTAGCGCAAGATAACATCTGTCCTAAAAAAGTTAATTTTTTTTTAATTAAGTGTAAATGCATCATAAAATAAACTAGCCACAGTTTAAATAAAATTTTTGCAATTATACTACTATTATTTATTATATCCTACAGTTATTATATTTTGATTATATGATGACTTGAATTCAATAACGGGCTAAGTGCCAAAAAGCTGATTTTTGGATTAGCCTCAGAAAATGTTCTAAGTACCAAGCCCAATAACATGTGAAACGGGCTAAGTGCCTTGGTTAATAATATTATAGGTAAAAACATCCGTTAGATAATGTGTGTGTTATGTGCTGGGTTTTTGTAGTGAAATAACGTGCTAAGAGCCACTAAATATATAATTTCTATTTTTGATCATGTTAATGTTATTTCCCATACTGATAACACGACCCGTCTTATAATAAAAATAATTATTTTAGTTATCAGTATATGTTGGTCGTTCAAACGGAATAGGTATACGCACATTACATGTATATTTCACGTATATTTATTTTACTTAAAATATTACCTATTTATTATTAATAAAATGCCAAAAAAACAGTCAGTGCGTAATGAAAAAATAATTCGTAGAAGTGTAGGAAAACCTTATGTGAACAAAAAAAATGTTTTGGTTGAAGGAAAAACAAAATGATTACTGTGTATACATATGATGATAATGTGTATACATTACAAACTTAGCATTAATACCATGATAAGAAATTAGATAAGACAATTATTACTTATCACTCCCATTCAAAAGTATATTGAAAAGATAGCGTTTTCTTCTGTCCTTTTCTCAATATGTATTTCAATGTTTAATACCGTAAAATAGTACATGAAAATTCAAATTTTCACAAACTTCAAAACGCTACAGAATATTTACTACTGAATATTAATAAGATATTTTTTTACTAAAATTTTTCTTAAATTCTACTCTACAAAATAGCTATCTTAGATTTTTTTTTACATTTTATTTAAAATTTAAAAATAATTAATATTTTTAATAAAATGTAAAAAAATTAATTATTGAGATATAGCTATATACCTAACGTATAACTATTATTTAAAAAAAAAATCAACTAAAAATATTAACTGGATCAAAAGTTATTTAAGTTGTCAGTGAGTGGTGGGCCACTCTGTATACTGGAAAACTTCGAATTTCAAAATGTTCTTGGCTCAAAATAACAAAAGACAAGCCCGGTGTGGTGCAAACAAAGACTACCTTCAGTGAACTTGAAGCTTGGAGCGCGTGCAAAGTCATCAAGAAAGGTGTGAAAGTTAACACAATAAAAGAGATGGATTTACCGTCCTTGATATGTGAAAATAAAATATCAGTCGAAAAAAAAAAATCTTCAGCAAATGCTACCATTTCTAAAAGAAGAAAATAAAGAATTTTTCGAAAAATTAATTAAGTAAATGAAGCTATTTTTTTTCTCTACGTTTTTTACTATTTGTAAAAACTTAAGTCTAATATTATCAAAATATCTGTATTTAAGATCTATTAAATTTGTAAAAAAATTAAAAAAATTCTTTGGCACTTGACACGTTTTTACCGAAATATACTGCTGTGACTTAACATGTTTTATCATTTTTTTTAGTATAAGATTTTTTAAAACTTATATTTTGCATGAGTAGTGTTAAGTATAAGTTATTAAAGGGTATTACATTTTTATTGACATTTATTTTTACAATTTTCCTCTGGTTTCAAAAAAGTTGTGAATAGTTCAATATCAACTTTTTGGCACTTAGCCCGTTATTGAATTCAAGTCCTCATATAATAATAATGTATTAATAATGATTTAAAGAAAGACGTGCTAAAGAATTAAGAATGAATAAGAATAGTTTAAAAATATCATTTCGTTATAAAATGTACCTTTCATGATAGATACTCCCAACATTAAACTCGTGTCCAGGTTGTTTACGTCAGTGTTAATATAATATGATATCGTAGATTCTATTGCATCGAATATTTTGTCCTCCCAATCTTGAGGTGTAATTATGTTTTCTACAAAAAATCCGTTTACTGTGAAAATTATTAAAAAGAAACTCACAAAATAAAAAGACGACATTTTTTCATTCGATTGAAACAGATAATAAAAATATTTTCGCATTCACTAGTCTTTTATGTAAATGAAAAAGGTTAGATTGAAATAAATGTTTATCACAAGGGTTTTGATGGTATTATGTAATAACCTTCAAGGGTTTTCATTTTGTTAAGATTTATTAGTAGATCGAAAGCCAAAGGGTAGGATTAGAATATGTCTTCATGTTTTATGCGGTTGGAAATACCTCTATTTTCCAATTAAGATGTTGACAGTGAAAAATTATGTCTTGAAATCTTAAATCTTTGGAATAGATTTACGATTGGCTTTATTTTTTGGGATGATAATAGATATTTTCACTTCCAACAATTGTTTAAGCGATATAATTACCAACGTATTTAATAATATATTGTCTAATGTCTAGTTATCAGGGGTAAAATTACAAAAAAAAAAGTGAATCCGGGGCTTCTGTTCAAATTTACTTGAATTGAAACATGACTAATAGCAGTGACTTTTTATTGGAAACCGGACTTTTATCATATTCAAGTCCAATATTTGATGCGGGGAACAAAAAAAGATGAGATGTATATTAATAAAAAAATTGTTTTAATTAACAAGGTGTTTTTCTATATATTTTATTTTGTTAGCAACTTCATTTTACTTTATTATTTAAATAGAATTCAATTAATTAATTTTACTAGTTGCAATTATATTTAATTTAACAAGCTTTTTAGATATTTAATTATTAATATATATTTATTTCTGAAAAATGATCTAGTCGTGTACCAGAAGGGAATTTAGATATGTAATCAAAAATTAATTATTAAAAAACAATAGCACAGTTGAGTCGTGGCACAGTATAGACGTGAGATAGTTGGGATAAGTAAAGATCTGACAGGGATTAAAATCACATCATAAGAAACGCTTCAGTGCAAATTTGTAGATAGTGTTTAATTTTAAGAAATTGATGGATTATTCTAAAAGCAAATTCCTATTTTTTGTTCTACTTCGACTTTTGAACTTCTAGTACATAAAATAAGCTCTATTTTAACATATATTTAAAAGACGCAATATTTTTAAAAGTTAAGTTGAAAAAGTTGTAATTTTGAATCCCCCCTGTGGGCAGATAAAGGGTCAGATATATAAAAAAAAAATATATCAAATGATAGGTAAGGACATTGTGCATCTATTAAAAAAAAAATTATCTTGATTTGTTCAATTATGAAAAAGTTATGACAGTTTTAAGTAAAAATACAAACCAGCACACGGGGGTCGCGGTACAGTGGTAACGTTACATAGTTGGACCAAGTATAAAGATATCTGACAATGATTAAAATCACTATAAAAAAAAAACGCTTCAATGCAAATCTTTAGATAGTGTTTCACCGTGAAGACAAAATAAAGTACGAAATTTTTTTTTTCATAATAAAGTACATTACATTAGCTTTAATTTAAGATATATATAAAAGTATCAGACTTTCCGGAACACTTTCAAAAGTTAAGTTGAAAATGTAAATTTTTTGTGAAAAAGTTGACATTTTGAATTTCCCCCTGTAGACAGGTAAAGAGTCAGATTTATAAAAAAAATATACCAAATGATAATTAAAGACATCATGCATCCATAAAATTTTATTGATCCATACATCTTTCAAAAAGTTATAACAGTATAAAGTTAAAGATATAAAAAATATTTTTTTTACAAAAATCGTAATCTTTTTATTAACTTTGATGTCTGTTTTCACAATAAAGATAAAACAAAGTCCGAAATTTTTTTTTTTCATAATAAAGTACATTACATTATCTTTAATTTAAGATATATATAAAAGTGTCAGACTTTCCGGAACATTTTCAAAAGTCAAGTTGAAAAAGTTGTCATTTTAAATCCCTCCCTGTGGGCAGGTTTATGGTCAGATTTATAAAAAAATTATATTGATTTGTTCAATTTTGAAAAAGTTATGGCAGTTTTAAGTAAAAAAAATTAAAAACATTTCAAAAATGAACGACTTTTAAATTTGTATTTTTTCTTTTGGAGATTTCTTCCATTTACGGAGAACGAGGGAAATTTTTTCAATTTTTTAGTGTAATGTCTTCGATTAGATACAATTTGTGATCTTTTGACGTATCGTTGAAAGAAATCGGTTCGGTGAGAGCTGAGAAAAAGTGGTAATAGACACACACAAAAAAAAAAATTAAAATTAATAAACACATCATAGTAAAATTAATACCTTCTCAGCTTCGCATCGAAACTAAAACTAACCAAGGAAAATCCTTTGGTATTTTAAACATTTTACAATCATAATTTTTGGTAGCAATTCTTGAGTTAATGCAGTTTTTTACAATGCAACATAAAACATTCTAATAATTATTATATAAAAGAAGGAAAATTAATGAAATAAAATGATTAAAAGTAAAATTCTAATAATATATATTTTCACTCAACCGGTATTATTTCTTTTCATGACAACAAAATGATAATATCAATACCTACAATAAAATGGCTGCTACTTTTTGCTGTCATATTGAAGTGATTATAGTTTGATAGTAACATCCCTGTCTAAGATCATAATAATGATAAAAATGTTAACAATGAATATTATTTTGTTATAGATTTTAACCGCCAAATAGATGTAATAATTTATCAATTAAATAATACAAATTTTTAAAATAATTGTTTACATCTACAAAAGAAATAATAATATAGTATTGTTAAGTTTATCGGTTTTTTTTTATTTTTATAAATTTGGTTTCATTCAACATTTTTCTGTAAACTCGTTTTGTTTATTTTAGGTATGATGATACTTTAAATTTATTAACTTAGAATTATTATTTACATATGACGATTTCAAATCATTTACGTGATATTTACTGTTAAAGTTGATTTTGAATTATTCATTATTTTTTGAGTTCGAATTAAATTGAAAAAAATACATATAAATTAAAATGTAAGAACTTACAATAGCCCATTATTAAATTTATTTTTCAATTAAAAAAAAAATGTGACGCTTTTAACCTTTTATTTTTTAGTTTTCCTCTTAAATCCTATAGCCCCATTTACATGTTACTGGGTTTTGCACTTAGAAAATTTTTTAGGATTATCTCTATTTAATTTTGTTTTTTGTACACAGCGAGTTATTGACACGAAGACCTCGTATGTATTATTTTTAGTATTAAGTGAAATTATATTACCCAAATATTTTTAAAATATTAAAATAATGTATATGGGAAAATTTATACCAATATTTATTATAGAACCCATATTATAAGAATTTAGCAAAAAAATTTAATTGTATGTTTAAATAATTATGATTATTGCTATCAAATTATCGAATTTTAATAATAACTTTGAATTTGACATTTGTTTTTTATAAGAGGTTAAAATTAAAAATAATTGTTAATGTAACAACAGTTTATAAGCTAATGGCATAAGCGACATTTTTATCAACAATTTTTTTTCTTAAAATTGAAAACTACTTGTATACTTTAAATCAATTGAATTTGAGTATTTTTGGTAAGATGTTGATGACACCACATAGTCGACAAATAATTTGTTAATTAAAAAGTTGTTTACATTGATACATTTTTTAATTTTAATTTATTTTTTAGTATCTAAAATGTCAACTGAGCCACCTCCAACTAAAAAATCTAAGCTGTTTGGGAAAGATACTAGCACCTCTTCACAAAGCAATTTTTTAAAAGATATATCAGAACAAAGGAAAAAAGTAAAAAATAATAATCATATATTAGAAATATAGAGTAAAATTATTATTAATATGATTTAATAATATATTAGACAGCTCCTTCTGTAATGGAATTCAAATATAACAAGAAACGTATCAGAGTTTTATCTGAAGTTAAAGAAGTTCCTCAGTGGGCAGATGGTGTTATTTATTGGACTTTTAGAGATGAGCGTATTCATGGTAAATTTACATGATATATTTAAGAACTCACTGCAAATACCTGACAAATCCACTTTTTGAGATTAAAAAAAAAAAAAAGTACAAATTTATTTATTTTGTAATTTAACTCAACATGTAGCAGTTTTATGTAAAACAAATTTTAAATTTTTATTAAAGTAAAATTGTCTGGTTGTAACAGTGAGGGCTTGAATTACTTGTATAATTAATAAAATGTTTTCACTGGTCATGTGTAAAGAAAATAATTCTGAACATTTTTTTATTTATTCTCATTTAAGAAAACAAGTTTCTCATTAATATTTTCAAATATTAATAAAATTTAATGTCAACTTTTTTTTAATCTAGATAATTGGGCATTCCTTTATGCTCAAAAATTAGCTTTAAAAAACAAAGTGTCATTGCATATTACATTTTGCAGATTACAAAAGTTTTTGGATTGTAGTCTACGTCATTATAAACATATATTTGATGGTAAAATATTGTTATAAAACGTTATATTAACTCTTTTTAATTACAAATAATATTATGTTTTCTAGGTTTAAAAGAATTAGAAGCTGAATGCAATTCATTAAATATACAATTTCATTTTTTGATTGGTTGTGCAGCTGATGTCTTACCTGACTTTGTTAAAAAACATAAATTAGGTGTCATTGTAGTTGATTTCATGCCTCTTCGAGAGCATATATCATGGGTAAAGCAGCTTGCTAAAAGTGTTGGATCAGAAATTCCAGTTGTGCAAGTTGATGCTCATAATATTGTACCCTGTTGGGTTGCATCTGATAAATTAGAATATTCTGCTAGGACAATAAGGAATAAAATAAATAATAAGCTTTCAGAATTTTTAACAGAATTTCCCCCTATTATTAAACACCCATACAGTGGCAAGCTGAAAGCTCAAGTAAGTTATTTTTAACCATTTTGCTATAATTAATTGTAGCCTTTTTAGTTTGAAGCACTTTCCATAAAAATTTAATAATTAAGAATTTTTTTGTCTCATGTAATAATTTATTTTAAATGATAATCTTTTACTATTTTGTTTTATGTATTCTATGTCTACTTCATTATTTTAGTTTTTATTTATTTATCTAGGCAACAAACTGGAAAGAAGCTGATAAAACACTTGAGGTGAATCGAGATGTTGAACAGGTTCTTGGATTAAAAGCTGGGTATAAATCAGGAATGAATGAATTAGAAAATTTTATAATAAAAAGATTGGCAAATTATGCTACTGCCCGTAATAATCCTTTGAAAAATGCACTAAGTAATCTTTCTCCGTGGTTGCATTTTGGTAAATACTAAAAATAATAAAGATTTTTAATAATTAAAGTACACATACATAATGTATATATATAAAAAATATATTATATTCTTTGATGTATATCTCATGTATAATTTTAGAAAATTAATCTTATATAAATCTTAAATACGTTAAAAATCCAAGTCCAATAACCAAGCAAGTGAGTTGTATTGATTAAAACTCTCACTATATATTGGGTTAAATCTTAATCTTTATTTCACAAAGAAAAGCAAAATTGTTAACAAAAAAATTCTAATTATTATTTAGATTTTCCAAAGCCTTAAAATCAAAATTTTTTCTTCGGGTATTGATTTTGTGTTTAGTACCTCTTTTATATTATTTTTATTTTTGATATTTGTGGTTAACTTTTTAGGTCTGTATTTGGATAATACTATGATATTAGATATCAGGATAAATCAAGTTTAAGACCCTGAGTTTCTTTTTTGTAAACCTTTCCTGTTAACTAGGCTAAATGACTAATACAATTTCTAAATATTACATTCTACTTTTATAAATATTTCTTTTTATTCTGATAGTTTTATGGATCCACAGA